AGGAATTGAGGCAAAAAGCTTCAACGTCTGAATTTTTAATCATATAAAATCAAATGCTGACAGTTTTTTTTACTTTTTCTACAACTTAGCAATGCTCTGCCGTGCACACATTTTATTTTTTATTAATTCTGGCTTTATATGTTTGTGTTGCCAATTAATTTTAATGACTTTAATCTTAGTTACCAGTGACAAAATGTTTTCATTCGTTTAACACAATCAGCCTCTTATGTTTTATTTGTTATTATTTGTATTTAATTTTTAAGTTTTAGATGAATCTTGATAGAAAAAATCTAAATAATTATGTATATCTTCAATTTTTAATCATTTGTGGCAATGATAATGATGGTTTTAATTCTATTTTAAATAATTTGTAGATATATTGGAATACCGTTGGCATAATGTATAGTTATTTATTGTTAATGGTATAATAACTCCGTCCAGTACAAGTTTATGAATCGTTACTTATTTCATAAAAATAGAATTAAAAAATAAATGTCTAATTATATTTATTTGTTTTGTTTTATTTTAATTTCATACATTTTTGTTGCGTTTTTGACAGTCGACGAATTGCTTTTGTTGACAAGAAGAGGTGAGTTTTTCTTTGTTTTGTTTTGTAAATATTATTTTGCACACATCATGACATGTATATGCTGAGGGTGTTTTAGTTAATTACTTTTTCTTTTCTAATATCGAGCTATGCTGTTTGAGAATGTGCTTTAAACTTTCGTGTCTAAAACACGAATCAACGTGACACACGATGTATTTTCTACTGTGTCTTTTACCGATGCATTCGATAATGAACTGTGATGCTATATTGATGTAGGACTTGATTTCTTTGAGTATTCATTGGTGTAATAGGTACTCACTCTAGTAGGTAGGTACCTGAGTCACAGGAAAAGAAAGAGAAAATCGGTTTACTTCTGCCAAAAATCTTATCACTAGATGGCGTTAAGTAACATAAGGTCTTGTTTGCTCGAATCACTGTAGTTATGATTGTACATTCATAATTTATTGAGACCTAACGCTGGACTAGCGATCCTGGCGGTAGCCCAATTGAGCTACTAGATAGTTAAATTTAAATATCATATTTCAGGAATTACGACAACAGTACACAAATCAACCACGGGATGCACAGTGCTGCCATCACGGGCAGTGTGCAAGTTTTCACCGTACTCATACCGCTTTTTATGAGAAACTAGCTATTTTTTATTACAGAAACTGTTGTTTTATTTTCCTTACTACTACCCTTGGGACAACTCTTACTCAACCATAGTGCTCCATACCATAGTGCTCAAGATTTTTATCATTTGTAATCTTACATTGTAGCATATTGCTGTATAGTTCATAAGTTCTTCAGAAAAGATCTGACAAGAAAGAAAATTAGGTATTTCTATTTTTTTCTATGCTTGGTTGTTGCTTGTCTGCCAACTTGTCTGGTGGTAAGCAATGATGTGGCCGACAATGGAGCGTGCCAGCCCATTTTCATAGTTTTTCAAATTGTAGACTCTTCCGACAAAGGAGAATAATTTACTTCGACATTTGAACCGGAAAAGGTATTAAACTAAAACAAAATCACCAACTCCCATATTGAACATATCATCAATCATTTCCACTAGTCAGTTTTTAACAAAAATACGTTATACTACGATTCGTCCGCGTAGAATATGATTTCTGTTTTATCTCATTTAATCGGTGTAAAAATCACCGTATCCTAATCAAGTATCCTATCACCTAAGTCAGCTCATATCCTTCCATGTTTACCAAATTTCATCAAAATCTGTTTAGTAGTTTCAGTGTGATAGTCACACAACTTGTGTTTATTCAACTTTCTTTAATCTGATTCATTCCGAGGACTTTACTAATGTCAACTTGAATGACAACTTTACAAATGTCATTCAAGAACTATGTTATGTGTCTGCGGACAATACGATATTTTTACTGCAACTGATTATTGGAAATAATATTAACCAAAATGTCTTTCTTAAGATTCATTATATTGATTTTATTGATAATTTCCGTTTGCACTGACAGTTCATCATCATAATCAACAGCCTATAAGTGCCCACTACTGAGCAAAGTCTCTTCTCAAAAGGAGAAGGTTTGAGCATTAATCACCACGCTTGCTCAATGCGGGTTGGTGACTTCAAACTAATAATTAGAAATTATAAGCCCAGGTTTCCTCACGGTATTTTCCTTCACCTTTTGTCAGTGGTGTATCAATAATCTTAGAAAGTGCATATAACTCGGAAAAAGTCATATTGGTACTTGCCGTTGGTAGGTTTCGAACCCGCAGCCTCATGCATGGGAAGCGGGCGTCTTAACCTCCGGACCACCACACAGTGACAGTTGGGGAGCAATAAATTCCTTCAGAGGGCATCTTACGACAGTCACATAAAGAGAACTAGTTTTTGAGATATTTTACATTCAACAATTACATACACAAGGGATCTAATAAAACATGAAATAGATATATTGTATTAATTTCTCTCTCGGACGCAACTGCATCACTTTATGTTTGTTGCGCCTAATGAATAGGAAAATCGGAGGAGATGTAAGTACAAAATAAAAATACAGTTTTATTTGTATAAATCTATATTGTATAATAAAAACTGTTGAGTGTATACTTATACTAGAGTAAATAATACTTTACAAAATGCTTCAATTTCGACATATCGACGCATCGGACGATGGCACCGCAGGTAACTTTAGTATACGATCTGTGTCGTACTTGTACACGTTTAAATACGTTGTATTAGTCAATAGATTAAAGGAACTTGTCACTTGGTAGCCAAGGGCGTTGAGTGTGGCGGAATATTGCTCAAAATAAACATGATATTTTAGAAC